GCATCACTTTGAAGCTTCTTCTTTCCACTCTCAGAAAGATGGCATATGTAGCAATCCTCAGGTTAAGGAGTCACAAGAGCATATTCACAAGAATATGATCACTATTTCATCCTAGAATGTTAAGAATTTAGAATTGAGGTTGAGGTTACTATTAGATTCATTTTCTCTCTTTAGATAGATTAATTGCTCTTTAACTAGATGATATGGTGGTTTGATTTAATATGCAGATTTATAGTACTAACTTTTTGAAATTACTCCTCCAATTTTACTGCTAAGAAAAAGTGTTAACTCTGTCACTCTCTCTCTACACTCCAATGCTTAATTAAATTTTTGGATAAAATCAATCATCGATTTATATAATTTTAAAATAAGAAGAGAAACTCTAATCGATAGTGTCATTGTTGAAATCTTTAATCGAGATTGAGTTGGTTAGATAGTATGATTTCTGACTTCATTCGTAAGAGGTATTAAGTATAGGTAAAAGTGATAACTTTTGTATATTTGGATTTGTAACTTATATTTCAATCAAATGTTTGTAGAATATGTATATTTGAATTTGTAACTTAAACATTTTAGATTTAGATATACGATATATAAAATTAATATATAGGATATAAAAGAGGGACAAAGAATGCTGACTTGGCACCTCTTACAGACTAGAAAATGTATTTATCTAATTTCTTAGTTTTTTTGGATTTTTCTTCTATTTATGTGTTATATTAAAAAAAAACAAAAGACATGACTCCTCATTAAACATTATCCTTTCGTATCAGTTACAAACTTATCATCTCATATCAGTTACACACCTTTATGTGCTATATTAAAAAAATTTAAAAACTGAAAAGACATGACTCTTAATTAAACATCATAATTTCATTTCAGTTACAAACCTTTTCACCTATAATTGCTCCTATTCCAATCCTATAAATTCAACTTTCTTTCTGACTATTTTTGTTCGTAGCGGAAGTTCAACTATGACAGGGTGGAGTAATGCTTCTGTTTATTTAAGCTTCTATTTTTTTTGTAGCTATTTTAATGGGTGTTGATTGTTTAACGTAGTTCTTTTTTCGTTTATACACTTCATTTGCTTTAAAATTTGTCTGTTGTTATATTGTAATGTCTAACAATCTCTACGAAACAAAATATGTATGTTATTATTTGTGTTTCTCTGATTTCAGGATGATTCGAATTTTGAGAGTTACATTAGCATCATTAGTGTCGACTTTGTAAGTGAATCCTCCCATTGTCTATAATTTAAAGCCTCATTTAATGGTTCAAAAATATATTAGATATAATTAACTTTTTTTTCTTGATAATCTAAACAGTTGAACATGATGCAAAAACCTTTAATTCCATTAGACTGACGTGTAGTTACATTGTATGTAATGTTTACCAATCTTTATGGAATAAAACATGTTGTTATTTTATTTTTTCTTTGGGTTATTTGTATTTCTTTGGTTTCATGATGTTTCAAATCTTGAGAATTGCATTAGAACCATTAGTAAAAATTTGTAAGTTAAAAATATGTACCTACATAAATTAAAGAATATTATGTATATAAATAAGTTTTCACACTTACACTATACACGGAAATAATGCAATGAATTAATTATAGGAGAAATAAAAATACAATATTTTTATGAAATGTAGACAGTTTTTCAAATAGAAAATTATGTAAAGTTGTTAAATCAAAGGAAACAATATTTTAGTGAAATATAGACAGTTTTTCAAATAGAAAATTATGTAAAGTTGTTAAATCAAAGGAAACAATATTTTAGTAATGTTTTTCTCAAAATAAAATAATGTGTTGAACGTATATTTGCAACTAAAGGTCTCAATTTTTTTATTTATATACTTAAGTTACAAAAAAAGATGATTGTTTCATATTTTAACCAAGTGACTCAAACATGATTATGTGATAATAAAATATTTTCTACAATTTGCTTAACCACATAAACTTTTGATTATGAATGTGTAGGAAGTTTCAATTTTGATAATTCAGCTAATGTTTTCACTTCTCGGATATTTTTTATAACCAGTTAACTTGTATGATCATATGTATCATGGGTGCATATGGTACCCAGGATGACATTGGGAATTCTTTGGATAAATGCCTGACTGAAAATCTCTCGCTGAATTGTGTGAGATATAAAAATTGTTAAAGATAAATAAAATGATTGAAG